CAAAAATATCATTGAGTGATCAAGCAACTCCTTGCAGATGCTGGACGCGAGGTCGTTTTGCAGCTTACCAATTCCTGCTGGGACAAGTTTAAGAGGGGTATTGGATGGTGAAAGTCGAGAGGTGGCCGATGAGGGGATATAGAAAGTTTTTGTTGAGATAAGCGCTATTAGAAGTGTTGGAGAGTTGTCTGGTGGTGGTTTGAGGACTTATGTTGAGGAGGCGGACGGTAATGGAATGGATAGCCAGAGACGAAGGGAAGAGCGAGTGGTGAGCGATGTTAGTGAGTTGGGTTTGGACCAGGAAAGAGCAGCGGAAGGCGGAGGGATTTTCAGAAACAGCTAGGTGTAGGGGGTTGGGTGCAATATGCAGTACATGTACGATAGCAATGATTTTGTTGATGACGGCGATAGGCCTGCGGATCCGGATCCCGGGTCGGGATATGCCAAGTCGGCAGCAGTCGGGTGGGGCCGACACTGTCCAGCCCTCCGCGGACTCGCTCTGACAATAATGTGGCACATAGTAAAATCAAGCGCGCTCATTGGTGGTTCACAGAGGCATAACTCGCTCATCCAATTGACCAATTGAGAACAGAAGACGACCGGAGACTCAGGAAATATGCCGTCGTCGATGGAGTCTAGAATCGGCTGACTCGAAACCGAGAGTGGAATCAGAAAAACTCTAATCTCGTCCATGCCGAATCACCCCCGTTGACCACTATCTCCGCGGACGCCTCTGACGAAACCTACGATGCAATCTGCAACACCTGATTGGTCAAATTCCTGTTATCAGTCGAAACCCCTTATCTGATCAACCTCACCCGCGACAGAGACACACCTTCCTTCGGTGCAACAGATAACTCCCGCCCCGCGACAGTGCGACTTACGCTTTTCCGCTGCGCAGTTTGATTCTGCATCATTACATATTGCAGACTGATCATTGATATTTCCGGACAGAGTGGCGTTGTTGCGCGGGCAAGACGTGGGACGAGTGCATTTCCTTCCATCCTGCTCGGAGATGTGCATTTCCTTTACTCGAGTTCGGCCTATTATCTATGCAGTCGATAGAGAGATTGGTATCAGTAGAATTGCAGTAATAGAAGTCTTTTCCCATTTTCCCATCATCCCATCTGACTCTTTTTCCTTTCGTCTGATCCCCTGATTCTGTGCTTGCTTCCCCTTATTCTCCTGAGTCCACCCCACGTACAGCCCCCCAAAGTCCGCAATGGCGCAGGGGAACCGGAAAAGGATCGTTGTTGTCGGCCTGGGAATGGTCGGCATCAGCTTCATGTTAGCAAATTCCCTCGACACTCTATCCAATTGCAACTAACAGTCCTAGTGAAAAACTCCTCAAACTCGACGCAAGAACACGCAACTACGATATCGTAGTCATCGGCGAGGAGCCACATGTAGCATACAACAGAGTTGGCTTAACAAGTTTCTTCGAACACAGAAAAGTTGAGAATCTGTATTTGAACCCAATAGATTGGGTGCGTCATCTCTACCCCGTTAATGACCTCCGACAATGCTGACCTTCTCTCCAGTACGAAGGCATACTAGACGGCGCTCTCAGTTACCACCTAAATTCCAAAGTCACCGAAATACACCCGAGTAAAAAAACCATCATCTGCGCCAATGGACAGGAAGTCAGCTACAATATCCTCGTCTTGGCAACAGGTTCCGATGCCTTACTTCCACGACATACTCCCGGCCACGATGCCGCTGGTGTCTTTGTATACAGAAATGTTGAAGATCTCGAAAAGCTCATTGCTTTCTCTGCACACCAAAAGGGGACAGTTGGTGCTGTGGTAGGCGGTGGGCTTCTCGGTCTCGAAGCTGCCAAGGCCATGATGGACCTTGAGTGCTTCGACAAGGTCAAGGTCATTGAGCGAAATCGATGGGTACTGAGTCGCCAGCTTGACGGAGACGCCGGTGGTATGGTGGTTGAACAGGTTCAGAATCTCGGAGTTGATGTCCTTCTCAGTAAAAGAGTTGGAAAGGTCGACGTCGACGAGAAGAAGAGTGTCAAGGGTGTTTTCTTTGAGGATGGTGATTACATGTCCTGCTCAACAATATGTTTCGCGATTGGTGTGCGTCCAAGGGACGAGCTAGCGAGGAAAGCTGGTATCAAATGCGCTGATCGTGGCGGCGGCATCATCGTCGACGATAGCCTCCAAACCAGCGAGCCGGATATCTACGCCATCGGAGAATGTGCTAGCTGGCAGGGGCAGACGTTTGGTCTCATTGCCCCAGGAGTTGAGATGGCTGACGTCCTGTCATTCAACCTTACCCAAGCAGAACTCCACCAACCGCGACTTTACAAACGCCCAGATCTCAGCACAAAGCTGAAGCTCCTCGGTGTTGAGGTTGCTAGCTTCGGAGACTTCTTTGCCGACCGTGACGGCCCCAAATACTTACCAGCACGAGCCCAAAAAGGAGGTCGAACGACACCCGACCGCGTCAAGACTCTCACCGACGGTCTCCCACCAGCACCTGTCAAGGCTCTCACCTACAAAGACCCATTTCAGAATGTCTACAAGAAGTACATCTTCACGATGGACGGCAAATATCTCCTGGGAGGAATGATGATCGGCGACACAAGCGACTATGTCAAGTTGGTACCCCTAGTTAAGACTCAGAAGGAGCTCGATATGCCACCAGCTCAACTCATCCTCGGTGCCAAGAAGGAAGGTGCCGATGACGGTGACGATTTGGACGATGAAACCCAAATCTGCAGTTGCCACAACGTCACCAAGGGCGATGTAGTAAAGGTGACCAAGGAAGGAACCTGCAAATCCATTGGCGAGGTCAAATCATGCACCAAGGCTGGCACAGGCTGTGGCGGCTGCATGCCTCTTGTCACATCCATCTTCAACAAGACCATGAAGGACATGGGCAATGAGGTTAAGAACAACCTGTGCCCGGACTTCATGTACAGCCGTGCCGATCTTTACAATATCATCATGGTCAAGAGACTCAAGACTTTCCCCGAAGTGATGAAAGAGGCCGGTGTCGACCCCAAGAGTGTGGGATGCGAGGCCTGCAAGCCAACCATCGCAAGCATCTTCTCAAGTCTCTGGAACAAGCACGTCATGGACAAGCCGCTCCATGGCTTGCAAGAAACCAACGACCGGTTCCTGGGCAACATTCAACGTAACGGCACTTACAGTGTTGTTCCTCGAGTCTCGGCTGGCGAGATCACCCCCGAGAAGCTGGTAGTTATTGGTCAGGTAGCCAAGGACTACAAGCTGTACACCAAGATCACTGGCGGTCAGCGTATCGACATGTTTGGCGCCAAGAAGCAGGATCTGTTGGATATTTGGAAACGTTTGGTAGATGCCGGCATGGAAAGTGGCCACGCCTACGCCAAGTCTCTAAGAACAGTCAAGAGCTGTGTGGGCACCACTTGGTGCCGCTACGGTATCGGTGACAGTGTCGGCATGGCAGTTCGTCTTGAAGAGAGATACAAGTCGATCCGTGCCCCCCACAAGATCAAGGGAGGTGTAAGCGGTTGTGTGCGAGAATGTGCCGAAGCCCAAAATAAGGAGTTCGTCCCCCTCCCCTTTTGTCTCTGAACCCATTTGCTAACAACCTCACAGCTTCGGCCTCATCGCAACAGAAAAAGGCTTCAATATCTTCGTAGGAGGCAATGGCGGTGCCAAACCACGCCACTCCGAACTCCTCGCTAAAGACGTCCCGCCCACAGAAGTCGTCCCCATCCTCGACCGCTACCTGATGTTCTACATCCGCACAGCGGATAAGCTTCAACGCACAGCAAGATGGGTCGAGGGCCTCCCTGGAGGGATCAAATACCTCAAGGAAGTCATTCTCGAAGACAAGTTAGGCATCAACGCGTCCTTAGAAGCTCAAATGGCCGAACTCGTTGACTCCTTCTTCGACGAATGGGCAGAAGCCATCAACAACCCAGACATCGCAGCGCAGTTCAGGCAGTTCGCCAACACAACTGAGACTCTCGAAAACATGGAGCTCGAGGTCGACCGTGACCAGTTGCGTCCCGTCATGTGGCCTGCGGGATCGAACACGGCAGGAGTAGATGACTTTGCTTCCCTGAACGGCAAGTGGTCTTCTACCACTTGGATGCCGGTCTTGCCAGCTTCGCACTTCAAGGGAGCAGATAACCTGCCGAACGGCATTTCGGCGACCATCAAGATCTCTGATACCCAGCTGGCCGTTTTCAGGGTGAGAGGCAAGTACTATGCTACGCAGCAGATGTGTCCCCACAAGCGGGCTTTCATTCTCTCTGATGGTCTCGTTGGCACCACCCCTGAGCCTTCAGATTCTACAGAGTCCAAGAAGTCAAACCCGTGGATCTCGTGCCCGAATCATAAACGCAACTTTGACTTGAAGGATGGTTCCTGCAAGAATGATGAAGGGTTTTCGATCGCGACGTTTGAGGTTGAAGAGAGAGGGGATGAGGGGATGGTGTATGTCAAGTTGCCTCCCGTTGAAGAGCTGGATGCTGCGCTGGGTACCAAGAAGTGGATGGTAAAGAAGGGCGAAGCGGGCAAGGGACAATTTGAGGAGCTGGATGAGAAGATTGGATATAAGGGCAGGGGGAGGACGAAGAAGGCCGGGGTTAAGGCTATTGGAGGACCCCTGCATGTCAGTAGGAGGCCAGTTGAGTTGATGGTTGGGAATGGAAATGGGTGTGGGAGTGCGCCGGACTGGTGATTGAGATATGCATATCATCTGCTCTTTGGGATGCGCATTTGAGCAGGAGTTTTTTGGAATTCTGGATTTGTTTTTCTATGTGCCATGAAATATGTTTTGTTGATGATGAAGTATACCAAATATTCTATTACATTTCTTTTTGGGGGGAAGCCATTTTACACATACGTGATCCACCACTTGCATTTTCTTGTAAAACGTCCTGCTCTCATCCCAAAAGAGAAAATCTTCTTCCGCCTACCACAAATTGCACAAAAAGATATAAGAATATTTGGATTAAGATGATAATCAAAAAGATATTTGTGTGGTTTTGACTCTCCCGCCGGGAATTGAACCCGGGTCCCGAGCGTTTGTTGTTGGAATGACAAGCTCATATACTAACCACTATACTACGGAAGATTGTTTCACAGGTGTTTGGCACCTGTCGTAGGTAGGAACTGGGTTGGAGGGTGGTTCTAGGATGAGGGGTTAAAATAGGTATGGATGGCACTTGGATCCCTCAGTAATGTGGATTCGGGGAAAACTGGGGTGTTGCCTGAGGGTGGGTGGTGGTGGTGGTGGTCCTTTAGACGTTTTTTGTAGTGGTGATTCATGACTTTGAAAGCTTTCCCATGAGTTACCGGGAACTTATTAAAGGGAAGTAAATGTATGTGTCTGGAAATATAGGAACGTAAAGTGTGGGCTTAGCCAACAACGTATGTATGTACGATGGGTTTGAATGGATTGATCAGCTTTGAAGAGAAAAGACTTTGATCACTGAGGATATATTTTGAATGATTCGGTCTCGAATAGATTGAATGAGATGTCTGAGACTAATACTTGATATAAAAAAAGGTATATGAGTTCAAAGACGGAATGTTGTTGGGAGTCATTGTTTCTTAATCCTCCCTTGCCTCAGTCGAAGTTGGCATCTTGTCTCGAGACTTGATCCGAGATTTCCAATTGCGCTCCACGGAGAGAGTAGCCTATTCTTTATTTACCAGAGATTGTCAATGACAGGAACCCCCATAAATAAAGCTTTAATCTGAGTATGACAAACCCTCGGTAACGTGGGTGGGCCTACCTTATCATCTTCATCTGTCTAGACTCAACCGACTTATTCAACATCAAAGATAACAAGTCCAAGCTAAGCCCATATAAATGAAGCTCTAGTTTAAGCTTCTGATCAAACCAATATATTACCAAAACAGTAGAAAAAGCCGCACCGAAGATAAAAAACATCCTAGACCCACAGAACAAAGACCCACCGAAAACACACAAATAAAACAACAAAAAAGAAACCCATAAAAACATACAACACCAGGGATTCCCCAGTGGTCACCCACCTGAGTACTGATCTGGCCCTTTCAAGCTTATCTAGGGCAGAGCGGACGGGATGCCGAGTTTTCTTGAAGGTATGGTCGTATGTGAAAGTTCAACCTTCGTCTCGCATCCTTATAGTTGCTCTGCTACGAGCACGACCAAAAAAAAGAAGTAGTATTCCGATCTCTTCATCCCTCGCTTATTACCTTGATCATCTATCCTTTCTTTCATCATTTTAGTTATATTGCTCATACCATCTAAAAACAGTTCATAAACAAATGACAAAATCAAGAGGGATGTGTAACCTTTCTTCTGCCACAACTTTCATCACGAAGCAGAGAAAAAAATGAATGAGAAACACACTTTCTTTTCACGTTATAATTAAAAATGAGAGAGAGAATAAGATCAAAAGATGATGGGCGACCCCGGAATCGAACCGGGGTTTCTTCGGTCGTCGTGTATCAAACTCATCAAAGTTGAACCACAACGAAGCGTCCTGACCACTAGACTAGTCACCCGGGGGGAATTATTTGAGTAATTGTTGAAATTTAATCATGTAAATGTGAGTATATATCTCATTTTGTGCTCAGTCAGGAATGTTGCATGGTTAAGAAAAAAATTTTACTTGTGAAAAAAATGGTTTGTGGATAGCCTCAGAAGCCCCCAACTCCACTTTGAGATTCAGAACTCCTTGGTTTTTTTCTTTCTTTTTTTGTGGGTTTGTTTTCTATTCTTCTTCTCTCGCCCAAATCAAAATTTCAAGGAACATTAAGAAATAAAAGCTTTTCAGAATATCAAATTCATAGAGGCCAGAAACATTCTCCAAACCCGTGTCTGATATTTGGAGGTGGGGGTGTGAAAATTACTAGTATCTCTGCATACAAACTCTGCCGGCGTAGAAGAGCTCTCGTAACAAAGACAATAACAACCTAGATGATCAGTAACAGGGCTTGGCTCTCCAGATCCCTCGGTAGTCTTCCCCATCAAACTTTCTCATTTACCGTTCTACCTTTCAACTGCCGATGGCCAACCCACCGGTACACCCTCCTCACCTACGGCGCCCCCTCAACCGGTGGAGTTTGCTTGCAGTTCGTGTGGTAACATAATCTCGTGCACCTTTACCGTGTCTTCCACATTCTCTTACACATATGTACCCCTCAACCGTCGTCATGCCGCGGCTCACCCTTCAACAGTCTAGACCCCAATCATATTCTCACACCGAAGGATACCCTCCATCTTTAGCAAGTGCATTCTTTACGAACTCGTATTATTTTGACCTACACGGTGCCTCCCCTTAGCGCTCTTCCAAAGCGCAAAGAACGGTATCAGTACGGAAGTTGTTAAATGTGTGAGAGCAGTTTGGATGGCACATTTAGTTGTCCTACCTGGCAATGAGACCAACCGTGCATGTCCCTCAAGTAGGACAAAATATGATCAACCCGTCCTGTGCGTCTTCGGAATAAGAGATAACGCAAGACAAGCCCAGCCATACATGAAAGAAGAAAAAGCTCGGTTGATGAGATGATCAGGCTGAGCGACAGTGATACTCCTAGCACATGCATTCCCATGTGAAAATGCTGGCAGTAGAATACGAACTGGGAAAGCCTGGAAGTAGCAATCCGCAGCCCTAGTTTTCGCCTGCTTGTGTCGCGTGCACCATACAAGCGGAATAAACAGAAAAGCTCTCACCGTCACCATCGGTTTTCGTGATCATGATGATGCTGTTGACCCCAAAGAAGCCAACAAGAAAATCAACAGCCACGACAATGACGTCGGTTGTTCCATGTGGGGGTCCAGGAGACTAACTCCCATGCGACCTGGTTATAACAGGTGACAAGACAAGAGCTCACTAGTTAGGAGTAGTCTACTTGATTTCTAATTTTTGCGGTGGTTCTGTGGTCTTCCCAAGATCGACGGAAATGGGGTCAGGATGATGAAGAAAAAATCTCAATAGACTGTCACAGGAGCAACGGTTTGCCGCCTTGGTTTTCGTTTCCTCCTCTTTCCTGTTTTGTTCCCCGTCAGGGGCTGATGCTCTATGCAGACCTCTGCCAGGGGCTAGAGTCGAAGTGAGCAGCATTGGCATCCAAAAAGAAAGGAAGATCTTTGAAGAAAATTCACATTTGCCGCCGAGTCCGACAACGGCCCCCACCATTTCCAGAAAAAAAAATCCATCCTCGGGGAGGGGGAGGGGCTAAGTGCCCGGCACTTCCGGATCCTTGGCCGGTGACGAATCGGCGTCTGCCGGGGACAATGGCTTTTGTTGAATTTTGCTGCGTTCTCGTTCAAATTATCCCGAAATTAAGAAGGGTTTTTCTACGCATTAGTTTTTCACAATAGTTCTTAAAGTCATTAATAAAATCACGTTACTTTTAAGTAACGTCTACCCCATGTGTCCCCGCTCGGGAAATGGAGTTGGAACAATGCCCCGATCTTTGATCGGCCGAAGACGTCTTGTCCGTCTGGTGATGTGGAAATCCCCGAGCACTCGGGCAGCGTGGGACACCAGGGGCCGAAGCGGGGAACGGTGAGAGAGGGGCCTTGTTAGGGTTGCCTGCCGGAAACCAAGATGAAGTGCAGACCAACCAAGAGAGGCAACACGACCATATCTAAACCTCCTGTCATCCCATTTTACTAAGTCCAACTCCGCGGAAATGGCCCAGTGGCTCCAAGACCCAGGTGTACACTGCATCATGAACTTCCGGTGAAAAGTAATTTCCAAGGACGAAGTTAGAAATACCAGAATTGTCGATTGGCACCCCCGCACTCAATGTTTTCTGTGGCACAAGGTGAAGAGAGTGGGAGGGAACAAGGGGTGGGCTCATAGTGCAGCAGCAGTCCACGCCCCCCCCGCTTCATGTGGCTCATGACAAAAGTGTTTCCCCATTTGTGTCTAGTTCCCGCTTCCCGCCTCGTGAACAACGAGGTCAAATGTGAGGGTAATCGTTAGCAGGAACTACTGTGTAGTAGTTGCAATTTTGACAGTCAAGTAAATGCATTACCTGCACGATGCCCTGTACGATAGTGGAACTCCCTGGTTCATAAATAAAACTCTTCGTGACTCGTGACGTTCTTATGCAGCCGCGTTTGCGGTTGGGGATGTGCGCTTCGCTGTCTCGCCGGTGAGCTGCTTCCCGATGTTGAACATCTTATGGGTTGTTGAAAAGTGGCGGTGTAATGTGGGTATGTACGAAGTACTTTCTGCATTTTTGCTCTGGGTGAACTTCATATGCGAAACTAGGCAAAATAGGGATCAAGGGTTCCCATCATTCTTGCCAAAGGATGGAGACGGTGACGGTCCTATCGACTTCGGGTTGCCTTGAATGTTCGTGGTTCACTCGGACAAGTCCCGACACTGTGCAGGTCTGTACCCCAGAGTCACAGGGAGGATGATCGCCGCGTGCATTGCAGTATGTCAGCCACTCGGGCTTCTGGGAGCCCCTCCTCTGCCACAAAGGAGTAAGTTCATATCTGTTGGCGCAGCGGAACGCCAGGTCGTTGAAGGTCCATGAGGCAAGGAGGTAACATCGGACGCCACTCGGTGAGCGGCGGCGTCGATGTTAGGAAATCCTTACATAACCTCCTAGTCAAAATTCGGAGCAAACTGGCCGCCAGCGCGGGTGCCGGTTGAACGGATGGGTGGTTTTTTTTTCTCGTAGCGATGCTGCTTGATAGTTCTGAAGTGCCACCGGAAATGCTTTACATCGTCGTTGACATGGGTTGTTTGTCAACCCCCACGTCACGGATGAACCCGATTATGTCCGGCCGAATTGACAAAGAAACCGCCCGGGAGGTATGTATCGATGAATGTACGATTATCCAATGATTACACCACCCAGTAGAGGTCGTTGTGCATCTTGTTTCGGGGCCGCGGGGAGTTACTGTTATCACGGAAGTACTGTTTAGAGTAACAAGCTAATAACCGTGATCGACTCAACATCAGGTCAGTTGTGATGGTCAGTATCGTGCCATTAGATTCTAGAAAGATAAAGAGTTTCTTGCCTATCACCTTGATATTATGTTTCGACGATGGATCCGGAAGTGTACCCATGGCGGTCTAAGCCAGGTTCGTGGAGATCTAACGCCGAGCAAACATG